AGGAAGCTATGTCAAATATGAAATGGTGTTTAACTTTCTTTGGATTTTATTTATATGAGCAGGTTACTAATACATGTTCCAATATTGTAAGATATTGATATGTCTTGGTGTATGTTATCAATATCTTCCATGTACTGATTTATGATTTTGCCTGCAATTCCTGTCTTCCTAAAATGTATAAAACCAAACTGTAACCTGGCAGGCTCAGATGCATTTTCTCAGGGCCTCTTGAGACTATGATCCCCAGGTCATTGGTCACTCACGCTGGTCTCAGAATAAACCTTTTTAAATTATTTTGCAGAGTCTTGGTTTTTTCTGTTAATAGTATAAATGATCACAATAGAATCTAACTACAAGAGGCACAACAAAGACGAAATTACATTAAAAATGGTAACAATCAAAAGACAGGTAAGTTTCATTAGGCAAATGCAAACAGGATAGAAAGCAAAATTCACAATACCTGTATTTTAAAAGTAAGATTTAAGATAACTAATGGACAAGCTGTAGTAGCTACATCAATTTCAGACAAAGCAGACTTCAGAACAAGGAAATTTGTCAAGAATAAAGAGGGGCTTTATACAATGACAAAGGGGGGGATCGATTCTCCAAGAGGACACAAAATCCTTGATGTGCATGCAACTAACAAACCAACGTCAAAATATATGAGGCAAAAACTGATACAACTACAAGGAGAAATAGAAGAATTCACTACTATTGTTGGAGACTTCAATACTTCTCTTTTAGTAATTGATAGATCAAGCACACAGAAAATCAGTAAGGACATGGTTGACCTAAACAGCTATAGCAATTGACTTGATCTGAGATTTTTGTGATACTCTATCCAACCCCAGCAGAATACATATACTCCTCAGTTCACATGGAATATTTACCAAGATATACCACATTTGGGGCCATGAAACACACCTTAACAAATTTTGAGGGGTAAAAATCACAAAAAGTACGTTCTTGGACCACAAACTAGAAATCAATAACAGAAAAATAGCTGGAAAACCCCAGAATATTTGGAGATTAAACGACACAGGTCTAGGGTCAAAGAAGAAGTCTCAAAGGAAATTTTAAAATGCTGTGAACTAAATGAAAACTTACCAAAATTTATGGGATGCAATAAAAACGGTGCTTACAGGAAAACGTATAGCATTAAATGCATATATTAGAAAAGAAGAAGGTCTAATCTAAGCTTACATCTGAGGAAACTAGAGAAAAAGGAGTAAGTTAAGCCTAAGGCAAGGAGAAGAAAGAAATAATAGAAATTAAAGCAGAAATTAATAAAATTTAAATAGGAAAACATTAGAGAAATTCAATGAAACCAAAAGCTGATTCTTTGAAAAGGTTCATAAAATCAATAAATCCGTAGCAGACTAACAAAGAAAAAAAAGACAAAAATTACTAATATCAGAATGAAAGAAGGGCCATACCCATGAATTCCATGAACATCAAAATTATAATAAAGGAATACTATGGACAACTCTATGCCTACAAATTTGATAACAAATGAAATGAATAAACTCTTTAAAAGACACAAACTACCGAAACTCACATAAAGAGAGAGAGATCATCTGAACAGCCTATAGTTATTAAAAAAATTCAAATCGATAATTACAAAAAAAAATACTACGAAAAAGAAAGCACCAGGCCCAGATGGTATCACTAATGAATTCTACCAAATATTTAAGGAAGAAACAATACCATTCTCCACAAACTCTTCCAGAAAATAAAAGCTAAGGCGACACTTCCCAGCTCATTCTCTAAGGTCAGCATTACCCCACCCTCACCTCTCACTGCCATCCTTTGCTGCTCGGAGGCCATGGGCTGGCTGGACTTGGAGCTCTACCAGCTCATCTTCCCTTCCCTACAGAGCATACGGAGGAGATGCCATGGCTAGGGTATGCAGCCGGAATGATGGCGCTGGGTACTGAAGACCAGCCTGGTGCCACCACTGCTGCTGCTGGCAGCAAAAGCCAACACTTTCTTGGGCCCACACCAGCACCAAAAGTAGCCTTGGCTCAGAGTCCCAATTAGACAAGTTTCCATACACTTGTACATTGTTTTAATTTTTATCAAGAAGAATATATAGTCATCCCTTGGTATCCTGGGAGGATTGGTTGTAGGACCGCCCCCCCATGGATACCAAAATCTGAGGATAATCAGTCTCTGGTATAAAATGGTGTAGTATTTGCATGTAACCTGTGTACATCTTCCCATATACTTTAAATCATCTCTAGATTACTAACAACACCTAATACAATGTAAATGCTATATAATTAGTTGTTACACTGTATTTTTAAAATCTGTATTATTTTTATTGTGGTATTATTATTTTTATTTCTTTATTTTTAAATATTTTTGAGCCTCGGTTGGTTGAATCCACAGATGCAGAACCTGCAGAGAGGGAGGGCTAACTGGATCAGTATATTGGTCTTGCATTTTTCAAAGGTGATTTCCACCCTTCCCTAACCAGACATGTGACATACCCCAAAATAGAAAAACACAAAACAACACTCACTCCCCATCTGCTTGCATCTGTGGTTGGGTCTCACCTACTTTCACTTCCTCCTAGCAGTATCCAGAGATCCTGAACTGACTGCAGGGCTCAGGGCCACACAGATGGGCTCAGAGCAGAACTACACAGACTGGAAAAGAGTGACAATAGACAGACATCTGATTTAGACTTTAGTTTTTCTGAAAAGATCTTTTTTTGGACAGAATCATCTTTTGGAGTGGGGATAAAGGAGGTCTGGGGGAGATAAGAGTGTTCAGAGGTCACGAGGAATCATCCTACCCTGCAGCAAAGCCTCAGACGGGCCACGCAGTTCAAGCAGCACCAGCCCGGCCACGCAGCAGTCGCAGGAATTAAGAAGACGACGTGAAGGGTGGCTTTAAGTTTCCCCAATAGCTAACTCACTTCTCCTGCAATTTAAAAAATCCTCATTGTTTATTTTTTTATAATCTCCTTCTGCTGTACACCCGTGGAGTGAGGCTGGGTAGACAAGAGAAACACATGGAAAAGTGGACCCTACCAGAGATGGACGGGAGCAGAGACAATGACCTACCTGGAGCTGAGATCGTGGCCTCCACCTGCCATCTGCCCCTGCTGGCCCCACGGGAGCCTGAGCTTGGCCAGGGGTCCTGCCCGATGTGATCTGCACTGTTTCTGTGCCTTCCCACCGCTCTACAGACAGTCTGCCAGCTGGCCCAGCCTTCAGCATGGTCAAAGGGGAAAGAAAACTGAAAGTGCCTCACAGCCTGACTTGGATGCATGACATACTTGTCCTCCCTCCGCCCAATCTTACGACATCTCTTAGCCCAGGGAGGAGGAGCGAGGCCAGCCCCACAAGTCCACAGAAGACCCGGGACTGCTTCCTCATTCCTAAGGAAGAGGGTGGAAAAGTCCACTCGACTAAAAGGGATTGAAGTTGTTTCGAGGTGAGGTGGCATCGTCTAAATGGGGAGGAAGGGAACTCCACGTTTGTCCCTTTCCCTTGCTGAGGTGGCTGTGGGAGGGCAAGGGAGAGCTGGACACTTGAAATCTCTCAGGCTCCGAGTCTGGCCAGGCACTTCTGTGAGCCTGGGCCGGACGGGGCGGGGCCCAGCGTTCAGACACAGAGCTGGCGAGAGCCAAAATGCCTGGTGTTATAAAATGTGAGGATTTTCTTAGCATTTCTGGAAAGCAGCCAAAGGTAAGAGAAAACCCTCCCAACTCCTCCAATCAAAGACAAAATGTAGAGAATTTGGCAGAGAAGCCCGAGTGAGGTGCAATTCTAAGTTTCCTTGAATATGTGGGCACTTTACAACTGCAACCAGGGGTCACTGGGGACAAATTGAACATCACCCATTTCTCTGAAATCTTGAGAAGAGTGACAGGCTTCTCACTGGATGGAAAAAGGGTTTGGAGCTGAGCTTATCTAGACCCTGAAGGACAGAGTGATGCGGGAAGATATGTGCATTACATTTATGTTTGCACACAAATTTTTCACTTATACCCAGCCCTCATTCTGTAAAGGATTTAAAACAATTTGCAAAAACATGCTCTATCAATATAAAGCTGAAAGATAAAGAAATGAGAGCAAAGGGCAAATAGACTAGGTAAATAAAACCAGAGGACTAGAAATTCAGGCAGAACAGTGGGTCGAAGACAGACAGTGAATCGGAGCCGGATATTGACAGAACCCAGGGCCAGCAGCAGAGCAGTGCTGAGAGTCGGGAGGCCAGGGACAAAGCGGTGCTCTTCCAAAGTATGTGCCACCAAATCCCACCACCTCTGGCTCCAGGTATACATATGATAGGACATTTGCATACATAAGTTTGCAAAATATAGAGGGCACCCTCTGCCCACTTCTGCTTTCTTTCTGCCAAAGGAGCAAACACCAATCTGGTTGGGACAGACTCCAGGACACTGACTAGGACATCTTTTCCAGTGGGCAGGGTCACTGTGCCTACCATGTCATACGCATATGTGGGTGTCTCTCTTTCTCTCTCTGGGACAGAGGGGCCTTATTGGCCCCCCTAACATAAGCTGAACTTCTGTTAGGCACAGCTGGCCTCTGCTCCTGGCCTCCATGGGGCATCCTCAAGAAGGCCTGGCCCAGATCTTGCCGACCTGCTCTGGCGTCCCCTCTCTCTCCTTTCTCTGCCCCTAAGCAGCAGGCAGACCCAGGCCACTACTGTGCTGGGCATTTCTGAAAATGTGCCAGCTTCTTTTGCTTATAAGCACAAGGTCTTTGGTGTTCCTCAGCTGACTGGTAGTAAGACTGGGACTCAGGTGTGTTCCTGCCAAGTTTACTAGAAAGATCTACTTGGCAACATCATGCATCAGCCCAGATAACAAGAGCCTGGAATTTCAGCTCCTATTTATCATGGCCTTGTTTTTCCCTATGTTCACTGAAGAGTCTCTCCTGGATAAGGAATGTCTGGGCCAAGACTACGTAGGATCATCAGACCATCCTTGGTCCCTAATGTCTTCCTTTACTGCCATATGACCAGGGGGGCCCGGAAGGTTCCAGCCTGCCTCCTTACTCTGTTCTCCCAGCCAGATTTAGGCCTAGTAGGTGACAATTCCCAAAGGCAAGTTGATGCTTTTATTCTACCTGAAAGATTTTTCTCCCTTTTGCTAAGTGTGCTAGGATCTGATGCCTGGAATTGGAGAGTGAATTGTACATAATCCTGATCACAATCCAGCATTATAATGTAATTTTCCAACTTTCCCTTGCTTGACAAAGTCTACCAAATTCTTTGAACACTAAGGGGATGTTCACTACTTTGTGTCCAATTATGTCAGATAACTGATCCCAGATTAATTGTGTTTTCTTGAAGACCTGCTGCCTACAATTCAGTCTCTGCTACCCAATTTTTTATCAGTCAGGATTTGGAGGTACCAAGTAACCAAAGCCAGCTCCAGATAACTCAGGCAGAAAGTCAATTTCTTAGAAGTATATTGGGTAACTCACAGAATTTACAGGAAAACTGAAAGACTGGCTAAGAAAATAGGCAGCCCGGGCAGTAAGATCTCCAGCCCTGGCCATACCCTCGGCCTAAGTACATGGTGTGTGGCGAGGGATTTGGCAAGTGTGTTCTTTCCATCCTGATTAGAAAGGAGGACCAGAAACAGTTCACGTTCTCATGTGACAGGTAAAAATATTATTAATATTTACAGTTTTGTCTCGGGGTTATATTAACTCACCTGCCGTTTGTCATAATATAGTTCAAAGAGATCTGGATCACCTGGACAGCACATAGAGCGTCACACTGATTGATCACACTGATTGATCACATTGATTGATTATGTTGGTGACATCATGCTGATCAGACAGGATGAGCAAGAGGGGGCCAGCACATCTACGAAAGAGGAATGAATTACTGACCCACAACGACAGGACTGAATCTCAAAAGCATTATGATCACCAAAAAAGCCATACATTAAAAAGTGCATACCCTGTATTTCCATTCATATAAAACTTTTAATACAGGCAAAACTAATCTGTAGTAATAGAAAGCAGAGCAGTGGCTGTCTGGTGCTGGGGTTAAGGAGGGGATTATCTGCAAAGGGCACAGGGAACTTTCTGGGGTGATGGAAATGGTCTATATCTTGATTGGGGTAGGATTACATTTGGTAAAATTCACCAAAATGCATACTTAAGATAAATTAATTTTATATCTCAATAAAATTGGGCTAAAAAAGAATTAGACATAATTTTAGAACTCTCATTACATGTATCATTAAAGCATGTGTATTAACAGGTGAGAATTTCCCCATTACTACTGCATTCTCGAGCATGTATTGCTTAGAATAAACATCTTTCATCCTTATTCATGTCTTTTTTCATGTAATGATTTTTGCCTGATTTGACATTGACATTATTTTCCCATTCCTGTTTTTTTTAAATTTTTATTTATTGATTGATTGCATTTTCCTGATATATCTTTAAACAGCTCTAAAGGAAGAAGTTCTTGCATGACGTGGTTTGCCAGGTGATGTGGAGGGGCTTCAGGTAAGTGAAGTGTGACATTTGCATAAAAGAGTCTTAGAATCCCTCAGCGCCACTATCCCTGCATCTTGCAGTACGCATGTTAGGGGTGCTAAGGCATCCAGGCACGCCCTCCTCAGCTGTTAGCGTCACATATTCTCCTTGCCTGTCATACCATGGTCGTGACCTGTGGAGCCAGATCTGTTGCTCTGTACATACTTGAGTGGGATGCGCTGTGTTTGCAGCTCCATGGGAAGCATAGAAGGCAGGTTAACCTTGGTTTCAAGGCTTCTGAAGCCTTAGAACCATGTTTCCCATCTTTTTTCTGAGGAGTTTGTGGGTGGCCTGGTAGGGAGAGCTCATGGAACAAGCAAATTTGAGAATTATTGATTTAATCTGTAATCGTTAACGGATCTCTATAGTTTAGAATTCCTCATAGACCCTACCTGCCAATGTACATCAGAGATCTTTAAAAGGGGCCTGCAGAAGCAGGTGTTCCTGCCTGCCCGTGAGCTGCTGCTCTGGCCCTGGCTCTGCCTCGGTCCGGCTTGCACACACCCCTGGCTGCCATCTGCCTGCCCTGCCAGCTCTCAGCCCCTTTTCCACCAGGACGTCTGCCTACCTCTGCCTGATTTCAGCTCCTGTGCGGGCTCCCTTTTATTGCAGTTTTCTCGTGTAATAATCTTATCCTGACAAATGCTAGACTTTTATTTCTGACATCTCCCCTTTAGGTTTTTTGTTTGTGTTTTAAAGTGTGATGATTTTTCTAGTGAATTAATTTAGTTGTGTAAGATCACCACAAACCAGTTTGAGAACATGTTCATCACCCCGAAAAATATAGAATGAGGACAAGTCATGGAGAAATCGAGGCGGATTCCCAGTTCCCATAGTCCCTGGGACTGGACCCCTGTGCCTCCTTCCCCGGCCCCCTCTCCAGGCTGATCGTGGCTGGCAACTCCCGGCTGCCCGCAGTGCGGAGCGGCGGGCGCCCTGGCGCCCCGGGGGCCCCGGAGGTGGGGGGCTGGAGGCGCTGCCTGCCGTCAGCTTCCTGCTCGGTCGCTCGGCTGGGCTGGCTCGCTCCCCGCTCGCTGCAGGGACGCTTTCACTTTTCTTTCCTCTGAAGCCTGGCCCCTTACTTCCTGTTTTGCCCGCGGGCATCTCTCTGTAATTCGCCCAGTCTTCCCGGAGTGATCTCGGGTCCAGTCCCTCGAACCTGGAAAGGGGCAGGGACAAATTCAGCGTCCAGGTGAGTTTCTGTCTCTGCTGCTTTACTCCTCGCTCTTGGTGATCGCAGCTTTTAGAATTAATTTCCCGGCAGCAGCTACAGGGTGGAACTCAACTCTTTCAACTCTGAGGCCCTCTCTCTGTAAAACAGAGTTTCCCAACGAGGTAGGGAGAGTACGTGGGACTTATTAGCAGACTGTGAAAGGGAGGACATTGACGGGAAGCCACACACTGCACTCGCCACTGGGTACCTGAGGCCTTAAGGCCACATGAGGCCTTCTAGGTCCTTACGTGCCACCTTTTGACTGAATCCAAACTTTACAGAACAAATCCTTTTATTAAAAGGAGTGCAGCAGAGAAAGATGAAGCTTTTCTTGCCTCCTTTGGTGCTTAAAAAGGACAATCTTGAAATTATTTGTGGATGGAAGTGAGATTTGCCTCTACCCTGTCCTAAGTTCTGCCCACAACCGGAACTCATTCGTGATCCTTTGTGCAAGTAACTAGAGGTAGTTGGGAAGCTGGTGTAAAAGAAGAAATAAGAAGAGTACATTTAATTTCCTCTCTACTATGTGATGAACTTTTAATATATTTTCCCTAAGCACCTTCATGATTATTTCCTTGCAATAAATTACTAGAAGTGGGAATTCAAAGGAATACGTATTTGGGGGCATTTGACACTGACTACTAAATTAGCCTCCAGAACGTTTGGACCTGTTTATATTTCCACTTGCAATGTCTGGAATTATTGCTGTTATTTTCTGTGTTGGCCAGTTTGATAGGCAATATGTTATCAAATTGTCTTTATTTGCACTTTCTGACTACTGGCCACTTAACACCTGTTTCATATATTCATTGAGCATTTAGCTTATTCTTTCATTAATTGCCTGTTCATGTATTTTGCTTTTTTTCCTACTTGAATGCTTGTCTTTTGCTTATCCATTTGTAAGATCCCTTTACATAATAAAAACCTGAACACTGTCATGTATGAGACATGGTATCTTACACAGTGAAAAACCGGACTCGATAGAGTCAGACAAGTTCCGCTTTGCTGCTGAACACCTTGGTCTGGTTACTTAACCTCTCTGTGTCTCACCCTCATCTTTGGGAATCATAACGGATGAAGAATGAGGAAACCAGCTACTTCTTATTCTGAATTCTGTTGTGCAATGAGTCATTCTAAATGGAGCTCCAGGGCCCCTTCCTCTTCTTAGCAAATGTTCATTTTGGCTTTCTCTGACTCTACACTGATCTTCGCGATATACATTGCGAATAGGAGATTTTTCTCCCATCCGTTCTCTATCTTCCAGGATTTCCTCACCACAGCAGACTCCCAGTGGCATCTTTTTTTGTCTCCGGTACTGTCGTGGATTATTCTTCTCATGACTTTTTTTTTCTTAAAAGATTTGGGAATAAGGAGAAAGGGACTGGGGTGCTCAATCTGCCACTGGGATTAAATCCCTGGAAATATTATAGTTGTTAATTACAGTTTCATTTTCTGTTTGACACAAAATGAAACTGGAAAAATGGGATCCATGTTTGCTTGGTTGTTTAAAAATTTTTAAGGTGACTGAATTTTTTATTAGTGCTTCTCCTTTCCTGACAATTTGTCAAGAATGTCATATGTAAATTTTCTGCCAATTATAGCCTATTGATATTTTCTCATGATCCATATGCAGTCAATTTTACAAATGTTGCCTGGGCACGGGAAAAGACACATATCTGTTCTGAGATATGAAATGAATTCATCAAACAAGTCAGCTAAGTTGCCTTTACTAAGCATGCTTTTCACATCCCTCATGCTTTTATTTGTGTTTGGCTCATTCGTATTAAAGATTGCGACTGTTCTGTTAAAGTTTCTAAATATTATCAGGTTTCCACCCTTCTACCCAGTTTTGGGTGGTTCCTTTTTCATGAGCATTGCTAGTTAATGGCTCAAGCCGCAGCCCAGGCCATCTTGTTTAACTCAGCTTAAGGTGGCCACAGAACACAAGCTTAAGACTGTAAGCCTGCAATCCAGAATCTGGAGTTTATTCCTAACTCTACCACTCTCGAGGTGTGCAACCTAGGGCAAGCTGTCAAACCTCTCTCCGTCTCAGTGTCCTCAACAGTACAAATGGGTGCAGTCATGGTAACCATCTTGCAAGGGTTTTCTGAAGATCAGCAAGGTCTGGCACACGGGAAGCACTCGATAAATATTAGCATTTTAAATATCTGCCTTATGTTTACCTGCAGCCCCTTTGGGATTTCGGCAGCATATTGTCACTCACTCCTGGCCTCCATTGTTGCTGGAAATTGTCCTTGTTTCCTACACCCTTTTAGGCAGATGTTGCCTTGTGGACTGTAAGGGATGCTTTTGGGACCGGAATGCCTGTCTTTAGTTGCCCATTTAATGCAGAGAGCAGCTCCCCACACTCTTCAGGGTCTTTGCTTCTATTTTCTTACTATGCCTCTTTCCGTAGGATGTACACTGTGCCCAGGGCCTTGGAAGAGGCCCTTTTTCAGCACTTCATCTACCAGAAGATGGATATTGCTTATGCCATAGACAAGCCATTTCCCTTTGTCGAAAGCCTCCGAGACAAAGCTTTCATCACCAACAGAATGTACAAGGTGAGTCGTGTTAACGCCTTCCGTGGCAGCCCAGCCCCCTCAAGTATGCTTGACTACTGAGACCTCAGACCACAAACCACCAGGGCTTCTAGTGTTTGGAAGGCCCAACCCAGGCATGTTTATTATCACAGAAGGTGGAGATGGCTGGGAGAAAGGGTGTCACAGGGGCTGTATTAGTTTCTAGGGTGTCATGGAGGCTGCCATAATAAACGGCTACAAACCAGGTAGCTTCAAACAACGGAAATTCATTCTCTTGCAGTTCTGGAGGCTAGAAGTCCAAAATCAAGGTGTTGACAGGGTTGGTTTCTTCTAGAGGCCCTGAGGAGAATCCACTCCCTGCCTCTCCCGTAGCTTCTGGGGGCTGCTGGCAATCCTGGTGTTCCCTGCTTTTAGACACATCACTCCAATCTCTTCCGATCTCTACATTGCCTTCTCTCTTTTGTGTCTCTTCTAAGGGTGTTTGGATTTAGGGCCCACCCTAATCCAAGATGATCTCACCTCAAGATCCCTAACTTAATTACATCTGCAAAGACCCTTTTTACAAATAAGTTCACATTCACAGGTTCTGAATGGGCAGATCTATGGGGTGTGGGGAGGCACCATTCTGCCCACTACGCACATTACCCCAGTTTATAAGAGCTTATTTCTCACGGTGCATTCTGATGTGAGGCAGACAGGCACTGGGAGGTATTCTCTGAGGATAAAAGTAGCATTCTTTTTATATAATTTTGTGTTTTTTAAGCATTTCTTGAGCCCCAGACCCAGGGAAGTGCTAGCAGTAGGCAGAGCAGTCTTTCCCCAGTCTTGGCCTGGTTGGCTCTAACCCCTCCTCAGGTACAGCCCAGATGGGACTCCTCAGAGAGGTCTCCTTGACTCCCTCATCTAAGTAAGACCCCCTCATTATTCTTTCATAGCAATCAATACTTTCCCTCCACAACACTCCTCTCAACTGTAATTGGGTATTTATTTGTGTTTATTGTTTAATGCCCATCTTCTCCACTGGCAGTGCCCGACCCTCTCAGTATGGGTAGCACCATGTTGCTCTTACCCGCTGCTGTGTACCCAAAGTCTAGCTGACTGAGCCTAATCAGTGTTCAGTAAGTATTTCACAATCAATTCTCTCCTGCGGTGTTTCTCCTTTTGTCCATTCTCTCAGCAAGAAGAATTCTCTGGATGACCTCCCTGTGGCTAGAACCTGTTCGGGCCATCTCAGATCAGAGAGAGAGAGAGAGGGCACGCACAGAGGCTAACAAGCAATAACAGAATTGCCACTGTGACCATGAGTTAAATCCATTGCTGAAGTATCCTGCCCAGAGCCTTAAAGATATAATAACGTAGTAGCATATTTGACTCAGCTTCCCTCTCTAAAAATTTCTCTCTTCCCTCAAATGTACCTAAAAGTAAGGTTCACAAAACAGACTTATTTTAAAGAAGGCTAAATTATTTATTACTATGACTAGTCATTCAAATATGTGAAGTTCCAAACCTAAGCATGTGAAACTGTGACCTCTCTACCTTAGAGGATTTTATACATTTTATGTTAAATTTTTTCTTAAAGGAGTAGCTTTCTTACAACTTAGAAAACCACAAATGTATAATAACTCTCCATTCAACTTCATAATCATTTCTAATAATCTTTCATCCATTTTTTTAAGGAATCTCTGGAAGCCTGTAGGAATTTGGTCCCTGTATCCAAAGTGGTGCACAATATTCTCACCAAACTGGAGAAGACTTTTAGCCTGTCTCTTCTGGTGACACTGTTCAGCGAAATTAACCTGCACGAATACCCCAGTCTGGTGAAGATTTTCAAAAGCTTCAAAAGTGGTAAATAGATTTGCATTTGAGAAGTTGCTATGATAAAAGTTTGGGTCTTTTCCCAGCCCTGAGGAATATGCGTGTCCATCCCCTGCTTTCTCTCTGGGAAGGGATGGGCCAGAGTTCCTCACAGGTGCAGCTGGAGGAGCAGCCCTTGCTAACTCCGACGCCAACTCTCTAAGATGAATTTCTAGAGGACACAAACATTTCTGTCTTCCGTGTTCTACAAGTTCGGGGAAAATCCTATACTTTAGCATATTGGACGATGTCTAGGGAATACATAAGGTGACAGAAATGCAAAGTTACAGAGACAAGGTCTGGTGGAAGGACAAGGAGAGCCAGAGAGGAAGAGAAATAGATATTAAGAAGTATCTTTTTTCAGTGCATTGTTCCAAATATTTTATTTGATGATCTCATGTCATCTTCAAGACAACCCTGTGAAGTCATTATTATAGCTCAGAAGTAACTTTCTCAAAGTTACTTGTCTGTTAAGAGGCAGAGCCAGGGGTCCAACTTGGGTCTCCCAATACCAGGGCCCAAGGTTTTAACCACTAGTCTAGACAAGGACAGCTAGAAGGCAGATTGTGAAGCTGGAGGAGGGAATAAAGGTAGCTGAAGAGGAAGGGAGGGAATCATGGACATAGACACAGAAAGAGAGGGTCTGAGAAAGAATGGAGAATGAATTTCACAGAGAAAGAGAAGAGGTTGGATAAATAAAGGAGAAGAAAAAAGAGCAGTGACAGAGCTGGGAAGAAAGAAGCCAGGGTAAGAGGGGGAGGCAGTTAAGTTGGAAAAAAAACACTTTGGCCAAAGCATATGTTCACTTACTTGAGAACAACAAGGCGAGGACCACCAATTCACACTGGATGTGACATTTTCATTAGTGGAATCACCACTGTTGACAGCTCTTCATCTGCTCTCTGACACTTCACCATCAAGAGGTTCCTCCCCAAAGGGAGGGATGACTCCTTGAGCAGAGGGACAAGCCCGCCCCCAGGCACGGACAGCTGCAGCATCGGGGTAGCACCAGGAGAAGCATGGACTCAAAGGCTACACCCAATACATCTGAGAGACACAGGGACCCACATGCTCACGTGCCCCTGGCTGAGCTTCAGCATCTTCCTGGACTTGCAACCGTGATTTCATTCTGGATCTCTTTCCAAAATCCAACTTTACTTTCCTTCTTCTGTTCCCTGGTTGAGACAACTTTACTTCTGAAATAAATGATGGAGAAGAATTGTAAGGGAAACCTGGCACTAGCCGTGCTGGGAGACAGCATGTAGAAAGCCAAGGGCCTGGAGTATTGCAGATGGGAGAGAACGTTGATGTGGCCAGGTCATAGGGTGTGATAGAAGGTATGGACACTGGGTCTCAGAAATGAGCAGAAACCAGAATATAAAGGTCCTGATACACCCTGCTAATGAATTTTTATTTTCTTATTTGCCCCATGGAGGTATGATATGTTCATTTATTAAAATAGAGACCTCTATTAAAATTATAGCATGTACATCATTGACTAAATTCTGTCCCTGCGTACAAACTCAAACTCGATTTTATGTGTGAAACAACTTTAGTATCAGATTGGGGCTTAAATGCAGTTATTGCAGTACTGAATGCCCAAATCAAATAAATAAGATAGAAAGGGGCCACAAATGGATAATGATGACAATGCATCGGTTCTGTGCACCTTGGGAAAAATGAATAACACTGTGTCCCCGTCCTATCGGAAGGCACGTATTGAGAAATTCCCATCCCCAAATAATTCTCAGTCTCCAGGGTGCTGATATGTGTTCCTTCACAATCCCAGTTATGGCTTCCTATGGACAGTGGAGCAGAGCCACACCAACCCTACTCGAAGTCCCAACTGGCCCAGCAGAAGGGTGCTCCCTCCAGACCCTGCCGCTGCTACCCCCACCGCCACCCCCTCCACCCAGCTGTCCGCTCTGTGTGTCCAGAGGCAGTGAGCCTGGAGCATCCTCGCAGCGAAGCAATGAGATCCTGGGCGAACCACCCAGCTCTTCTGACCCTGCCGTGTCTCTCCCTGGACTCATTCAGGAAGGAAGGAGAACTGCAGGTGAGAAACAGACCCCATCCAACATCCAGTCCCAGCCTAGGGCACCTGCGCTATGCTACCTACAACCCCAGGGTCGCATCTTTTATTCATCTATTCCTTCCCTTGCACCCATCCACCCATCCACGGCTCTTTTCAAGAAGGATTATGAGTGCTTCCAGGGGCCTGGGTGAGGCCTAGAGCCCAGAATACCTGCTTCCCACTGCTGGGACATCCCAACCTCTGCCCTTGGACCTGGGGGCTCCATCTGCTCCAGGCATTTTTACCATCCACCCTCCTCCCTGACACCCAGTCCTTGTAACCTGTGATGATTTTTCTTCCTCCCTTCAGTGACCAATGACAACTTAACAGCAAAAATGAATGAGGAAGAAGACTCACACAAGATGTCCAGCCCTCCCCCTGGCACTGCGCAAGGTAACCTTGACTGGGGCTGGCTTAGCTTAGCTCAAGGTGGTGCGAAGGGTGAACACACACCTGCCAACCAAGGGGCTGTGGCAGGAAGCCCTGGAAAAAGAATTGGGCAAAACAAAGAAAAAGAAGGGGGCTGATTCATCAACTGGGCAATGCCAAATTAAATTAACAAAGTGGCTAATTGAGAGTAAATGATTCCTCATTTTCCCACTCTATCCTACCCTTGCTCCGGCCCTGTCACTCAGTCACTCCATCTTTCCTCCTCGCTCTGGTCCCTGCTTGCTGGTCCTGGGATCTGTAACTTTTTCTTCCTCTGCTCAGCGTCCAGTGACAACCTGAGCCCCCAAATAAAAGATGAAGAAGATTCTCAGGAGATGCCCCACGCTCCCCCAGGCCCTACGCCAGGTATCTTGGTTTGGACAACTTAAGCTCACCTTTGTTCTGTGTCTACCAAGAGGAAAAGCCGTTCAGATCTCCTGGGGACAGGGCTCTCCTCCTTGCTCTCAGCTGCCGACTCAGCCCAGCTTTTGGCCGCCTGCCCAGCACTTGGAAGCTTGGACAGGCAGGAGACCCGAGCTCTGAATGGATGCAGAGTCCCTGGGGAGGGCAAAGGAGGCCAGTCTGGAAAAGGTAGACCTGGAGGGGCCACTGATGATAAGGGCCAGCAGCCCACCAGTACCTGCTAGGCTAGGACTCCAATGTCATTAGGTGTCCGCAAAGGGGGAACATCCATCTGCCACATCCATCCATCTCTGAGGGTTGTGACGGGAACCCCAGAGGGAAAGCACAGGGAACTGAATCAGGGCTGGACTGCTGGACTCAGCCACTGTGTTGAGGCCACTTTAATAAGGTAATGCTCAAAACTGTTCCATCAAAATGCAAAGCAAATGGCAAAATCACTGTACGGCCCTAACAGGGAAGGGATGCAGCAGACATGGGTGGTTCTTCCTAGTCCCACCCTGGCTATGTGGACCTTTCACTTTCAACTCTAGTCGTTTCTATATTGTTTGGATTTTTAAGAGTAGATATTATTAAATTAATTTGAAAAGTAATAAATTACATCAAGGGTCTAATGGCTGCTTGCCACCTGCCTCAGTTTCCTTTTCCTGAGCAGGCCAGAACTGGAGACAGATCTCAGCACTGTGCAGATAAGGTGACGACAGCCTTATGTGAGATGGGTCTTCATCTGTTATGGCTTCAAGTCCTTCTGTCTTTGTGCAGCAAAAACTAGCAGAACTTTGTTTATATTTGCTGTTAACAGGTACAGGCTACCTCCTGCTTTCTTCATACAGTCCTTGTGTACAGAAATATACAAGGCATTTAGCCTTGTTCGCTGTTTCTCAAGGTGAAATAATCATAGATAGAGCAGTTAAAATATCCATTCGCAGACATCTAAACAATAACACGTATTTTTCATATGATAAAGACATTCCTCTTCATCGTGGCCATGAGAATTCAATGTCACCACTTCCCACTGCTCTCGGCTTCATTCCCTGAGCAAGGGCTGCCGGGAGCCCTGGTACCTCTCTTCCGTCCGGTAAGAGAATCTCTCTAAATGGGTCAGACTGAGCCTCCGCTGTGGGGCACTTGTACCCTGGTCCACTGTGACAGTCACACAGGTAACAATAACCACAAGTTGGCAAAACCAAGGCAGAGCCAGGAAACCCTCAGAGCTGGCAGATTCCCAGCCCCGGGTTACACGTGCTTTCCACCTCTCCAATTTTCCCATTGATTTCCCTTGGCACTTTCTCTTCAGCCTGTTCTGAGCTCTGAAATGAATTACATTTCTTTTGGCAGTGGTAAGAGATGAATCTTTGGAACCAAATGACCCAAAAGAGCCCCAGGAGGTATCCATCACACCTTCAAACAAGAAAGGTAAGAATCGCCTTTCTCTTCTAGATGTCAGAAGGGTGAATTCAGAGTTGCTTTCTGTTTTTCTGATCATTTCTTGTCATGAACACCCATGATGTCACTATAGTCACTGTGCCCCTCACAGTTTGTTTCTGTAATTGCCATTCACTGCACCTTCCTCAAAGGCCTTTATGAAAATTATAGGCAAACCAGAAAGCATTTAGGAACATCGAAATATGCATTTGGACTTGCCTGTTCTGAAATCATTAGTCTCCTGTATCCACAACTTCTTAGAGTGTTAGGTGCACCAACCTTTTAACTGAAAGTTGGTTCCCCACAGAGGACACAGCCTCCTCCTTGGACATGACTGGGCATTCTCTGCCCTCTGTCACTCACACCTCATGGTGGGAGGCAGGGTGGATGCCCATCCCTTGCTACCCACTGTCCCCATGCAGTCACTTCCTCCCCATCCTCTCCTCTGGGACTTAGCCATTCAATTAAAACACTCCTTCTCATCATCACTGTCACCCACTGATTTCCCCATCACTCCCCAGCAGACCTCAAAGGCTGTTTTTCTGTCACCTCAAGTCCCGCCATCATCCTAGACGCTTTCAAGGTACACATGGACAGCAGACAACCCATCCAATACTCTGGCCTCTCGAACCCTTCTCTTCTCATTTCCAGTGACTTTTTCCTCCACCAGTTCTTGTCCCTCCAGGCCCAAAGGCAATCCATAGACCTTCTCATCATTCAAACCTGGCTCAATTTCCCAAGAGTTCATTTCAGAATTCCCTTTTTTGACACCTGTCCTTAAAGTTTACTCCTTCTACAGCAATTGTTCAACCTCTGCTGTCTCCTTCTCATCCCAATCCTAAAAAACGTTCAAAACTATTGCTTTCTGTTTTCTCATTATTTGTTTTCTCTGCAGCTGTCCTTCAGCCTCATTCGGATCACCAGTCCACTGGCCTTCCCGTCCTCCAATCCATCATTTGCTGTTCTTCACGCCCCTCCTTTCCAGCTAAGAGTCCAGCATCTATCATTTCAGTCATCTACGGCCATTATCTTAACCTGCCTTTCCTCTCTGTCTTTTCCTAGAACTCTCTGGCAGGTCTCAGAGGAACCTACTTATCTGCTTTCTGCACCCTGTGTCTGAAAGCAGGAGATGCTGGACAGAGGAACTTCGCAGGGCAGGGTGCACACGCTGCGTCTTCATGATTCCAGTACAAATGATCTCTCCACGCTGTGTGACAATTCCACTTCCTACAGTGATCCTTTCAAATTTTGATCTCTGTTTTTCAAACCTCGAATTCCCCTTACCTCCTCCTTTTTGCTCAACAGGCGACTTTGCCGCCTGCTTCATAGAAAGGTACCAGGTGGTTCCCACTGCCAGCCCTGCAACCCTAACTGCACCTGCTCCTCATCTCCAGGTCTCTCTTTTTCTCTCAGGCAGTCTTTGCACCTCGCCTCACAGTACCCAGTGCCCAGCACAGCCGGATCTCTCTCACACAGCCAATGCCTAACCCTATCGCAGCTCGTAAAAAATACTTCCTCTTGATCCTCATCTCACTTCAGTGCCTCCGCAGCTCTCTCCTTCACTTCACAACCACTCTTCTACAAATGAGTTACCTAAACTCCCCGTTTCCGCTTCTTTACTTCTCTCCCTCCTCCATCACTTTAGAATTCCTTCTTCCCCAATTACTCCATGAATAGCATCACCTAAGATCACCAGTGACCTCCTAGCTAATGAGGTGTGAAGACCAAAAGTAAAAGCTGAAAATCATTGACATATAAGGTCAGCAGATCTATGTTTGTAACTATAAAAGATTATCTTTAACCCTTCTTCTTAGGAAAGAAAAGAAAAAGAAGTATCTGGGCAACTCCAAAAAAGAGAAATCAGAAGAAAAGGCTCCCAAGAGGTAAGAAGAGGGTACAAGAGGAGGCTGGAGGCTGGAGACAGCTCAGGCAGGGCTTGCAGGTCAAAGTGTGGGGTTGAATTTTATTCTAAATGGAAAGGGAAGCCATTGAGGAGATCTAATCAGAGAAGTGGCACAATCCTTCAAGCCCAGTTTTGTTGCTATTTAAAGAGTGAATTGGAGCTAGGTAAGAATGGAGGCAGGGCAGCGCTTGGGGGCAGAAGCCATGACAGTTGCTGGCAGCCTGGATTTGGATCTGGCACTGGAGATGCAGAGAAGAAGGCCAATTCAAGATCAGTTTGGGAGGTAAAGTTGACAAGATTTGATGAATTTTAAATTAGGGATAAGAGAAAATCAAGGCTTACTCTTCACTGTCTGGTGTGTGTGATTGAGTAAATGGTAATGACCAATGCTGAAGGAAGATACAAATATATTTGGGAGAAGATATATATTGGGAGGAGTTCAATTTTTGACCTGTTCATTTACAGATTTCTGCTGGCCATCTACACAGCTGTGCCAGTTATGTGTTTTGTCAAGAACTGTAAAGGATCTGAGATGTTACCCCACTTGCATTTATATGTTCTTTGTATATATGAGTTCTGCAGAAACACAAGTACCTGGGTCAGGGAAAAGAATTCTTTATCGATATTCACAACCTGCTCAACAGCCAGAGTAACACTGCAGCATCTGTCTCTCATACACAAACCCACAAGCAATGCTAAGAGAGTTGATGGAATCTTTCTGTTCAAAGGGCAGATTACAACCCATAGACAAGGGATGGAGAATGATGGATTTTTTGTTTATATACATGAGAGAGATAGCCATCCTCCTCTCTTGCTGAAAGGAGAAGAAAAAACTTTGCTGCTTTGAGATAAAATGGAAAAGATCCTGGGTCTTCACCCTAAACATCGGAAATTTAAATGCATCTTTCCAAAGGCCGGGGAACCTTCAGGTATCTCTGACTTTTACAACTTCAAGATGTCTCTAAGTTATGGGATTTATCTCTTTTGATACATAAACACCTAGGGAAAGACCACTCCAGTTTTCCTGATATTTTAGTACTTAACCTAGGAAGCTGGTCCTGGCTGTAACCATTTGGCAATCTCAGGAGATAAGAGAAGTTGTATTATCTTTTTGGATCAGAGCAATTAACTAGAAAAATAGCTATAGATCTAATTCTCATGGTATATGAAGAATAAAATGTTTCTAGGGGAAGTGAAAGCAAACATTTCCAATCTTTATATCGCATACATTTCTGTGTCTCAGGAGGCTAGTGCTTTTTATAGGAGCACTGAGAAATCAGAGAAGTTATTTTCCCCCACAATATGCCAATCTGGCACTCAATGAAAAATCTGGTCCACAGATATAAATATGGGAGTCATCAATAAAATGAAGGTATTCCAATTTACGGGAAAAGAGAAGCCAGGACCTATCCCTGCTCTCACAAATTCCAAAGTAAGAGGAATCCAGCCAAGCAGACTGAGGGGAAGAGAGCAGTGAGGAGGGAGGCGCACCAGGAGAGAACATGCCAGTAAGCCAAGAGGGAACAGTTGACTATACTTAGGGATTACGATAAATTCAGAGAAGAGGGCCTTCGGTTCAGTCACAGGTATCACTGGAACACTTAAGAGCATTTTGGTGGTGGAGGCAGAAGCCAGTTGCAATGGGTAGAATAATGAGTGGGAGGTAATAGCTTATGTCGATAACTCTAGCTGTACAGAGGACAGAGCAACAGAGAGCAGCCTAAGCCAGTGGTTTAAAGCTCCTTTTCTCTGACTTAGTTTACCCTTAGTGTGAGTCCAGTGTCTACAATCACAGGGTTGGTACCTTTTTAAGGTATTTCATAGAAATGGTTTAGTTCTGTGTCTTTTCCCCAAAGGTTAGTGGCCTTCCTGGGCAAGGAGGAGAGACAAGCTGCTCTCTCCCCACTCCACTTTTAAGCCAATGCCCTCTTTTTTTCTTTTTAATACTTTGTAGAGACGGGGTCTTGTTAAGTTGCCCAGACTGGTCCCAAACTCCTGTCCTCAAGGGATCCCCCCATCTTAGCCTCTCACCGTGCTGGGAATACAGGTGTGAGCCACCGCACCCAACCTTAAGTCAACGCCCTCTTACCATGTTATGGGTGTGTTTTCTATGGGCCTCCTTGGTTTAGTGTAAACTACTCAGGTGATTCAACTCACACTCCCTGAGTAGTGAGATTTGTCAATCACTCTCATGACTTCAATCACCTCCTCTACGCTGATGACTCCCAAATCTACATCCCCAACTCAGATTTGTCTTTAAGAAACATAGCCAGCTGCTCACCGGGCATCTATGATGGCAAGTCTCCCATTGACACTGAAGTCTCAATATGTCTGAACTTAAATTCACCTTCTTCACCAAAAACCTGGTCTTCTAGGTAGCACTGAGACATTTATTCAACAAATATGCAGTGAGCACTAACTCTGTATATACCCCTTCTGAGAGCTGAAGGTACAGATTTTTTAAAAAAGAGAGAATGTAAGAAAGTAAAGAAGAAAGCAAGCAAAAAAAGAAAAGAAGAAAGCTCATGGAACTTACATCCTGGTTAGGAGAGAAAAAGAATATAAGCTAGAAAGCATATAAACAAGATAATTTCAGGTATGATGAAAAGATGAAAGACAATGAAGGATGTGATTATAACAGTGACTTGCAGGTTGGGGTGGGGGCCACTTTCGACTGGATGGTCCAGGCATAGGGACTCAAAAGTGCAAAGGACCCAAGACTGAGAGGAAAAATCAGTGTTATCGGGTGATGATGAAGAGAGGAGAAGGTGGTACAAAGTGAAAAGGTTGACAAGGGCCAGATCATGTAGAGCCCCACAGGCCCTTGGGAAGATTTTGGAATTTACTTAACTTGAGATGAGGAATCCCATCTACCAAGCAAAAGTGCCAAGCAAAAGCCTAAGTCATCCATGATTAACTGAGCTCTGTTAGTATACTGGAAAGTTCTGTTGATTCGATCTCTTCTTTCCTACACTAAAATCTGATGATTTCATTTCCAAGCTTAAATCCTGTCCATGGCCTCCTATTACCCATAGGATAAAGTTCACAGACTTTGTTTTTTTGTTTTTTGTTTTCTTTTTTTCTTTGAGACAGGATCTCATTCTCTCACCTGGGCTAAAGTGCTGTGGCATTATCATAGCTCACTACGACCTCAAACTCCTGGGCTAAAAAGATCTTCCTTCCTCAGCTCAAGTTAAGCAGCTGGGATTACAGGCACATGCCACCATGCCCAGATAATTTTTTAATTTTTTGTAGAGACAGGGTTTTGCTACATTGCTCAGGCTGGTCAAGTTCACAGTTCTTAATGTGATTGTTAAAGCTCTCTCCAATCCAACCGCTCTGAACTTTCATTTCCTTCCATTTCACTTCTCTCCCCTTTGATCTTTGCCATGTGTTGTTCTCTTTGAATGCTATATTCTTACCCTATACTACTTCCCATAAATGTTTGGCTATCTCCTTTTCATCACTTATACTGGCATAAATATCTACCTCAAGAAGGCATACTCTGACCTCTAAATTAGCCAAGTTGGCCACTGCATGTTTCTATAACACCCAGCATTGGCTCTTTCACAAGATTCCACACACTCTATTGTAACTACTTATATAATATGTCCCTTCTAGGCTAGATGGTCATGTCCAGGCACAACTGAAGCATTAATTATTTCCAAAATGAAAAACAAATTAAAGAAACCATATTTTCTGTCACCCAAAGATTGAATAATGATCTGACAAAGGATAGTTTATAAATTTATTATTGTGTTATCCAAAGACGTCACACACACCACTTACACCACATGGTGCAGATATAAACCAAAGGGTATTGGAGGGAAATTTCACAATAGAGGAGTAGAGCCCATACAATCCTCCAAATTCTTATTATCCCAAGTTTAGGGCAAGCACAGATGGTCTGCATGCCCCATGGCCAGCATCCCAGTACTGACATGCCCGCTCCCATAATGCTCTACACATTTTAGGGTCGGGGGCAGGGAATGTCTATGCAACTGTACAATAATGAATGCTCCCTGGTCAGAGAAGTAGTCTCATAAGAAAGGGGAAGCCTCCAGAGTCCAGTGTCATTCCGTTAAGGTAACTCTGACCTTCTGAGACCTCTCTGCCAAGCTACAGAAAGTATGCCAGGCCTTTTCAGATTTGTCTTCCTTCATATTATATTTAAATGAAGATTTTTACAGGGTTTGGTT